TTCCAAAGATTCCTTGCAAGAATTATCCCAAATCCATTTTACCCATAAAAAATAAAATAAAAAAAAGTCCTAAAGCAAAATCATATCCTCCTTCCTCTTAGTGACTTAAAAAAAAATACTTCTCAAATAACGGTCCTCAAGCCAGGTCCCTCCATTTTGTGGCGATAATACTGTTTTTTTTTATTGTGATTATTTTCTTCGCGAAGCCCTCACAAAGGCTTTACGGAGCCCCAGGGCCCCGCGGAGCACACTTTCAGTAACACTGTTATAGAAACTTACTAAATAAATAGTTTTGAGAAAACTATTGAAACCAGTAGTGAAGTTTGAAACGAATAAATTGGCAATGAAATTGATATTTTTGTATTTGAATGTATGTTTCTCTTTTCACTTCCTAAAAAAAGTTTCCCCATGAAACAAGAAATAGTAAACAGTTTATAATAATAACCTTTATTTGCTACTTATAACATGTACCAATGACCAAGTCCGATTCTGTTTATTTTCAAATCAACAAATATGGACGTCGACAGAATCCTTAAAAATTAAATATCTCACCGAAATAAATGTAAGTTTCTTTTATCTGCGTCACATTTCACAGGTTTATTATAAATAAAGCTTTTTACAACACATTTTGGCATTTTCAATGTTAATTTCCAAAATTTAAGTCACTAAAATACCAAATTGATTCTCGTTGACACATTACATTTGGATGGACAACGCTCTGACATGTGATGTTCTCAACTGTGATTGGTGGGTGTGAATCATTTCGAAATGGGATTATGCGCAGTGTCTTATGTTCCATCTAAGGTTTGTATAATCTAAGATTTTGACCAAATTTATATGGGACCACCTAACAAAAAAAGAATCATATAAATCGGACAAGGTGGTAAAGCATTATCGCTAAACATACATCAAAAATGAAGAGTTTGAGGATTTTCTCATGGGCCCAATTATTAGATTTTGACTAAATTTATATGGGACCACCCCTGAAGTACCCCCTTTCTAACAAAAAAAGAATCATTGAAATCGGACACCGTGTTAAAGAATAATCGCTGAACATACATCAAAAATGAAGAGTTTGAGGATTTTCTCATGGACCCAATTATTAGATTTTGACTAAATTTATATGGGACCACCCCTGAAGTACCCCCTTTCTAACAAAAAAAGAATCATTGAAATCGGACACCGTGTTAAAGAATAATCGCTGAACATACATAAAAAAAAAAATATCGCGACGAATTGATAACCTCCTCCTTTTTTGAAGTCGGTTAAAAAATATAAAAACACTACATAATGATATGTATGATTTACCAACGGTGGCTCATTCTGAACGATATCGAAAAGAAAAACATACTTTGGTTTAGGTGGACTTTAATATCATGAAAGTATAGAAATAAATACAAATTAGTACATTTACTGAACAAAATGGATTAATAATTCAATTTGAATTATTAGTTAAAACAAGATAATCTTAAAGAAAGACATTTACAAAGCGATTATAAATATAATTTTTATACCAAATATTCATTAGGTTCTTGTTAATTGATTAAACAAAAAATTATGGCCGAGCCATGATTCAAAATATACCTATTTCTTAAATCTTTGTAAAGTCAGGTTTTTTGTTGTCAAACGACTATGAGAACAGAGAGACCCGAACAACGAGATTACAAAAACCTGAAATTGTATCCAAATCGCTTTATAAATAGAAGAAATATAATTTTCGAAACGCACTTTTCAAATATAATTTTCTTATAATTCGAATAGTAATAGTTTTTTTATTAGGGGGGGGCAACTTCACCGACCTCGAATTTTATATAAAGTATAATTTTAATTTGGGACAATCAGTATATGTTTTTTTTTTCGATATCGTCCAGAATGAGCCACCGTTGGTGAATCATTAATATCATTATGCAAAGGGTTTTTATATTTAAAGTGTATTAAACATGAATCAGTACTTCTCGCACCTTCAAACGAAAAATATATCGGAAGTGCGCGTAGATATAATTTTTTTTATAGTTCGGTTAATTTATTTTTAATAACATTGTTATACAATGTATTTAATGTGTGATGTGTTTGCCAATGGTGCCGAATAGATACATTAGGTGAGTATTATTACTTATTTATTATTTGTTTTCACTTAAATCCAAAGAGAGTGAAATTTTGTCCAAAGGAAATCCCCTTTTTAAAAACCATGTTTGGTAGACTTTTGTAATATATACCTCACTGATTCCAGAAATCGAATAGTTTTCTTTATCCAGTAGAATGTAGGTCGCGATTTTTAAATACTGTATATTCCGAAATCAATCGTTTTAACTTTTGGTCTACACACAATTTTTTTATTCAGGGATACCCAAAGATGTATAACCAAGACAGGTAGGATAATTGTTTACAAAATTTCTGAAGCCAACGCTAAGCGTCTTCGGCAGAAACACAAACATCTGATTGAACATTATAGCCAAGTTTACGGTGTTCTTAATTAACAGTAGTAATGCAATCGTTCTCATACAAGATGTAAAATCTAACAACCGCGCAATAATAAAATCGATATTTGTAAAAGTTGTAAATTGTTTTTTTCATTCATTTTACAAATTTAACTCGGAAATTGGTTTATCAGATGTTCGTCCCATATGCGTACAGAAATACATTTAAATACCAAAAAATTTATTTAGCCACAATAAATTATTAGTAAATTTACATTATTTAACGATTTACTTTAAAAACGTTTGTTTAACTGTAATAAGTTTTATATAAACTGATGTAGTAATCGGATAAAGCCTTTTCAATGAGTTTTTCAAATATTATTGAAAATAGATAGGTATATCCTTGTGCTTTCATAAAAGTAGCAATATGTCGACTTCATTTTTCTTTACGAACAGTTATTTTAATTAAACTTAATTAAATTACCATAAACTTAATTAAAATACCACAAATAAATAAAAAAATCTACGTAAATAGGTATTTTCTACATAATAAAATAGTATCAAGTGTTAGAGCTGGATTTATAAACTTCGTTCAGTTGGCGTACAGTTCACGCTCAGTTCGAGTTGGTGAGGTCGTGGCACGAACTTCATGCTGGACACAATTTATAAGTCGTTGGCCGTTGGTTCGTCGCTGCGAATTTTAAAATTTGATTTGACAAGACATAACCACAAACTCCATGAAATAAATTATATTTCGTTGTTATTTTGTTTTAATAATATTTGTAGATGGTATTGGTTATAAAATAATTATAAATCCGTTATAATTTCGTATCCAAAACAAACCTATTATGTCATTTTAGGATCGCGTTGACGCATGCGTGGTCAAATAATCAGATACGTCTTTTCATTGGCTCGACATTCGCCTTGAACGGCGAACATAAAAGGTGGTCATCTCTCAGCCAGTGTTGCTAGTATAGTACAATTGTACTAGATTTAGTACATTATTTAAGAGAATCTGGTACTCTAGTACACTCGAAGCAAAGTCTAGTACTTTTTCTTTTTTAGCGTGTATCCATTTGAACCACGGGTAAAATATATTGTTGGGTTCCTTGTTTGTGTTCGTTCTCGATAAAAGCATTTCTTGATTTGCTCTTCAATGAACCAAACCATCACAATTCGAGAAATAGTGTACAATTCATAGAATCCGGTACATTTTTATGGAAACAAAAATATATTCTGGCAACACTGCCAGTGACATTACTACAGGGGATATATTGTGGAGTACTCGGATTGCCGTTGTCGAGGTTGCTTCTGATCCAGGAGGACCGTACCATTTGACCTAATTTAGAAGTAGAAACCGCATATGGTCCATATTTGGCTTTCCATACATGGGAGGCATCCTTATTAGCTGATCGTGGTGAATATTTGGCCAGCTGTCCAGAATCCGGCAAGCCTCCTTCGGCCCAGTTACGGTACCGATTAACTGTGTTTATTAGGGAGGGGAATCAAGTATGAAAGTTAAGGATATATAGAAAGATGCCCCTCTCTTAATAACTTTTTTATGGTTGCTCTATATTGATCCTTTTTACAAAATCATTCTGTATAAGACACATTTTTTTCGTCAAAATATTGTTCATCGAATTTTTTTGGTCTTTGGACTTTGAACATTGGAATCAGATTTTCAAAAAAAAAATGTCTAAATGTGATTCATTTTTTGGAACAGTACCTAGTTATGAACTGTTAATTTTCTTAAGGAATCAGTAGAACTCAAAAACAATACTACATAAAATACACTTTTTCTAAATTTGACATATAAAGTGAAATTTTTTGTAATCGCAACATTATGAAACTCATTACGAAAAATGTATTATGTCACCAGTTTCAAAAAGAAAACAAATAAAAATAAATTATTATTTAAAGCTTATATCGCAAAAGAGAATGTTGACTATATCTAAAAATATAATTTGGTTAGTGAACTTACAACCTAGTAATAATGATGATTTGGTCCTTGTTTTCCATCTAAATTAGCATAAAATAATAAAAACAGAATACACGTAAAATATCCCACTTTCTTGAAAACTAAATATCCTTAATAAGCAATATAAACACACACATGTCGTTGAGATTTAATTGACAATAAAATGAATACAACTAACAATACCAGAAAGTAATATTGGTTGCGTAGATGTTTTTCACCAAAACACAGTTTTATAAATATAAATTAGAAAAAATATTTTATGTAAAAATGCTGCTTTGTGTAACTCGTTTATGTTACGGAATCTCGCTCTGCTCGTCCCGCAAATATTCACTTATTACATAAAATAAGACATTTCGTAACTGGTAACTCATGCCATCATAATATCTGGTATCGATTTTGGGTTTCATTCATTTGTTTACTTTTTTTTATTGAAATATTGTCCTTCCCGAAATTCTTTGAACTTCATTAGATAAAAGAGTATCGATGAGATAAGAAAAACTACATTTTCAAAAATATACCTTTATTAAAAAAAAAAAATTCAATAGTACATTTCTAAAAAAATTAATAAACAAGTCAAATAAAAATCGTGTAGAAATTTTTAAAGTTTGTCTTGTTCACACGGCTGGTGGTATCGTAAGACTAGAAAAACTCTTCAATTTTTATTGAAAAATCTACGATATTCTCTTGATAAACTCCTTTGCGGCATCAGTGGGAATTATTCTCTGGAAAAAATATTTATGCATTTTAAAGAGTTTTATTATTTTTTTTTTTGTATACGAAAACTTAAAACTTTGAAGTATCAGTAACCTTTAACCATGCCCTAATTCATATAGATAATATGCAGTTTGTCCAAAAAAGTTGTATATTAATGATAAAAAGTGTATCTTACATTTCACAATAGAAATTATCATTGATAAAAGGTTTTGCATCACTTGGAAATCCATAATCAAGCGTGAAATTTGTAAAATCCAAAAAATTCCATTTCATGTTTCAGCATTAATTATTTGTATTATTTATACTCGTATGACTTCAGTAAATCTAAATTACTTAATTACTGAACTAATTTCTGCATATTTTTTAATTTTAAATTAATATTTAGCTCATTATAAATCATTTTCCCTGTATACTTTACCAAATTGAATGCTTGATTATGGATTTCTAAGTAATCTATCAAGAAGCTAAATTTTTCAGTTTATGAAATTTTTCAGTTTTCGCAGTACACATTCCACATTTAACAACAATCATTATTACCTTGTTAAAGAGTCTTAAGTACTTATTTTATTTTATTATCTAAACGAATTTAAATATTTATCTATTTTAGATTTTCTATTATTATATTCTTTGTTTCATGTGCTACGTTTGTAAAGTACCTCGATTTGCTTTTTTTATTCAAGATAAGTACTGTTCTTTGAATACACCCAAGCTCCGTTTGATCCACTGATATGGTTTGCCGGATATCACGTGACCAAAAAATTTACTCACTCTGCTCGAGGAGGTACATTTCAAACGTAGCAATAGTAGATGGAATAATGGTTTTTCATTCCTGGCTCGGGAATTTTGAATTTTCGCGGAAGCCTCGCCCAGCTAGGATTCTATCAAGCGCTAGAACAGAAGGCATGTAACATGTGATTGCAGCTTTTCTAGAGTAAAGTTAGTTAGTTTCTTCGTCCCGATTGGCTAATTAGTAAACTCTGGTAGCACAAAAGTAAACAGAAAGTCCTTTTGGTCAATTGAGGACCTATAGCGTTACTTCCTGGATATTCTTAGCTAAACTTATCTCTTTTGCACCACATGATTAACCCAATGAGTTCTTTTTGACTTAGTGAGTGTGGACAGGTACATTCCATACTCTCTTATAAAGAGTGATCCATAAACAATATTTCTAAAGTAGACCATAACCGACAAACACATAGATAAAAGTCATGCCCATAATAACTACGAACGTTTTGAATGAATCAAATTGACCCTTAAAGATAAGAAGAATTGTACGCTTCGAAAAGATCTACACTTTTTAGAAACACATTTTTGATGGTTATCAAAAAGGTTGTTCCACATTTGAACTTTTGTACATTGTATTTCTCTTTCATCAGCTATACAACTAGAAGTCGCTGACACAGGACAAACTTCAGCTTTGAGCTTTGCCGTGCAGTGTTTACTAGTTAAAATTTTAGTTTTATTTGTGGTTAGTTCCCTGTTTATATTCCAAATTGCACAGCTTATCAAGACACTGGTATGTTACTCTCATCCAGCAGCTCATTCCGTAACGAGAGACATTTTTTCGGGGAAATGATGAGTTGTCCTTTGATCCTGCATTGACGATGATTTGACTAATTTTTCTAAATTTGAAACTGAATTGTGCAATAACGCTAAATCAAATGTTGGTTAGTAGAATTGAAAAGAACTGAATTTGTACTAATTTGTACCATTAAAAAAAATCTAATTTATTTAACCAAACTATCTGAAACAACTTTAAATTGAATTCAAATCTGTTATATTTAAGAGAAAAGTGACTTTTTGCACAAACAGAATCTATTATTGTTTTTGCATAAGAAACAACATAATTTGTAGTGTTAAAATATAAAGTTATAAAGAGTAATCAAAATGGCGACTTGGGTCGTACTTTGATTTATTTGAAGTCAATAATTTTATATTTAAAGACTGACGGAATGAAAATAATTTTATACATTTATATGAAGTCATTTAACGAAAAATGGCATTTATTCTCACCATAACTGACTAGCTACACTATCGCGAGTTTGACATTGACGTAAAAATATAATACAGAGGTGCGGACAATTTAGCATCGTCATAACATCTCCTCCTTATTCTATCTTAATGATTAAAAGCAACATAATTTGTAATAGTCCCCAGTACATCGACCTTTAGATATTGTAACCACCCCATACTTCCTGAGCAGCTTCATAACACCAAGTCGGATATTTTTTTTCAAATACTTGACTCTGGGCGATGGGACATTTTCACGCTAGCTCTTCGTGAAGTTGTCGTTCTGGCGTCTCTAAGGAAGTTGATACATGTACGTGTAGTTTTAATGTTAATCGACGGTTTTTTATATAACATTACCGAAATCACATTTGACGGACAAAAAACACGTGAGATTGAGAAAGCCCGACAACCCCCAACATGTCGCTGTGGCGTCCCTAAGGAAGTTGATATATGTACATGTAGTTTTAATGTTAATCGATGGTTTTTAATATTACATTAACGATAACACATTTTTCGGACAAAAATCAAGTGACTTTGAAGGGAATCCGATGCCCTATGTCGCTGTTAATTGACGGATTTTTATATAACATTATCGAAATCACATTAGTCGGACATAAATCACGTGGCTTTGGGGGGTCCGACAACCCCATTATGTCGCTGTGGCGTCCCTAATAAAGTTGATACATGTATGTCCGACAAAAATAATTATAAATAAGAATGTAATTTTAAAACATATATGTAGTAAATATTGGACAAAAAATTGAGTAATAACGTCAGTCGGACGACAAAAGTCCAACAAATAGTGTAACTACGTAGTACACTCCATATATAATAATGTAACCCGTTCTCTATACATAATTTCCCTAAAATGCACGTTTCGAATTTTGAAGATAACTCAAAAAACGATAAAGAGAAAAACACCAAATTTTAAACTTAGGCTTTAATCCATTCTACGGTGAGCATATTAGATTTTGGGCATAATCGAAGTATCCCCCTACTTTATAGGGTGTCGTTTTTTTTTAATTTAAGAAAATAAATAGTGTTTTCTTAGGCAACCCATTTGCGCTATTTTTATAAACATATTTTATTTAATAAAAAATAACTTTAATCCAGTAAACAGATGGGTGAAGATTGATCTTACTTCGTATCATACCCAAGTAACATTTTTAGATTTATTAAAGTATACAAAATAACCATAAAACCCTTTTTTAAGACACTGATAAAACTTTTGAATCCGCAAGATAGCCTTAGGGCTGCTATAAATCTGCTTGAAGAGTAAAAGTCCGTAAGAGTATATTAAGAATTTTATTAAACCATTTTTAAATCTTTTTTAAGATTATGATAATAAGTAGGATAGGCATAAAAACTTTACAAAACTAATCAGTTTTGAGAGAATTAAATTTAAAACTGTTTTAGCTTTATTCTGTTTTATCATACTCTCTGAAAAAATGATTTTGCAAACATGCTGAGAAGACTGCCATGTTAGAATTTATTTATTATGTATGTTTAATTTGTTGGGTTACACTTGTTATTTCTTCAATTTTTAAACACACATCAAAGTACTGTTAAAAGAGGGCAAGGTGGGTCGTAATAAATGATGGGCCTTACAATATATGAAATATGTGTAAAAAAGGATTAATATATGGATTCTAATCTATTTACCGAAAGTTATTTAATAGAAAATAACTTTGTAAATATCGTATATATAGCACTATAAAATGATTACAATTTTCTTCGATTTGTTTTTGATATAAAATATCACATTTTGTATTTTTTAAATTATTTCATGGAAGTGACTATTTAACCGCCAATATATTTCCTATTGAAGATTTGTCTTTGCATGGATACTTGTCATCGTCAGAAAACCATTTTCAATTGCGCATACTACTTACTGGACTATCAGAAACAAACTTTATGTTTAATCATAAATTACATTAGGCGAGGCAATAGTTGTATAACATATTATAACATGTTCCAATATAAATTACATTTATATACCCTAAAAGGTATTAGCTATAGATATATTTGACAAATTTAACATAATTGGTTAAAATCAGTAAACGCAATCATAAATACAAAAATCTACTGCCAGTGGCATGCTGTTGTCATTGACACACTGTTGTCATTGACACACTATCATTACTAAAATCAAAAGATTTTAGAATTATTTGAACTTTGACCATAATTTATTTTAATATTCAAAAGTAAGTTATTTGAATATCCATTAGGTACAGGTCTGGTAGACAGGTACTATTTTACATAATAGGTGGTTAAACAGCTACTGTCATATTTTAAATGGAGGATTTCCTCATTGTGTTCTATCTGTACCTAAAAATGGGTATTAGCTTATAAAACTAATAAAACAAAAAAAACACTTTTTAGGACTTTCCAGTTTTAAAAAGGTTCTGCTACACTTTTTAAAGCGTTTCATAAAACAATTGTAAAAACGAAAACCTCAATAAAACATTCATAAGTTCAATCAGACGGGCATAACCTAACCTCATTCTTGAGCTTCTTATTTACTCTACGAACAAGTCATTCAAAATATAAAAATTAGTAATAATATAATAACCATTTTTCTCTTTAACCGATCATTTCCAGAGTATCAGGAGGCTGGGAATATTTCTTTGGTATTTGTTAAACAATGGCACATAATGAATTTATTAAACAATGAGGAAACGGAGAAACATATAGGTACCTACATTTTTTTTCATTTTCTATGAAAATTACCACTTCTCTTTATTTTGAGCAATTTATCTTTCAACGTCAACATAATGTGATTGGATTGAAAAGCTAGGTTATGTTCTACAACAGACTTTATTTCCTGTTAAAAGAACTATGTAGTTTTAAAAGAGCCATATCGTTTACTATTTACTAGATTAAATAAATTATAAGAGTTATGTTGTAAAATTGTAGAAAATGTACCTAAAAATTTCTGGGATCAATTTGATTTAAAGTATAATCCTAAAACATTTTTTAAAATTAAGTTTTAAAACCTAATAAGATACTTGCTAAAAAGTATGCCTTTTTAACACCAAACACACCTTAGGAGTATCTTCAAACTAAATAGTTCTAAAATTACTTATTACCTAACCCTTACAGGTCAGCGATAAAGCATAGTTTACTTTAGGATAAACTAGTTTTCTTAAACGGATTTAAAGGAATCTATAAAACCAAGTAATAAGATCAATTTATCCTGCAGTCCTATTGGCAAAAAAAAATAACTAATAGAATAATTATTAATTTTTATGCTTTTATAAAATCCTAATAAAACATAAATAAAACTTGCTTCTCCTAAAAATGTTACTTGGGTAGACTATTAGGAAATTGTAATGATTAGAACAGAACTAATACTCAGAAACTTGTTGTCTCAAAGATAAATCTTTATTAATTTACCTGACCAATTCCTGCAATGAGTGTCAACAACGATCTCTTGGGAGGTCTGCAGTATCTCTTTCCTCCTTCTTGGCAACACAAATTTGGAAAACAATCCAGTGGAGTTTCGCAAGGTTTTGGAAAAAGGTCCAACAAAGGTGGAGGTGGTGGCGTACACTGCATATATCCAACTAGAGTGCGAATGGCTAAAAAGAAAGTAAATATTTTACAACCTAGTTTTACAACTTAATTTTACAACTTGGTTTTACAAATTAGGTTAAAAACTTAATTTAACAACTTAGTTTCGCAAATTAATTTTATAACTTAGTTTTACAACTTAGTTTTACTACTTAGTTTTACTACTTAGTTTTACTACTTAGTTTTACTACTTAGTTTTACTACTTAGTTTTACTACTTAGTTTTACTACTTAGTTTTACTACTTAGTTTTACTACTTAGTTTTACTACTTAGTTTTACTACTTAGTTTTACTACTTAGTTTTACTACTTAGTTTTACTACTTAGTTTTACTACTTAGTTTTACTACTTAGTTTTACTACTTAGTTTTACTACTTAGTTTTACTACCTAGTTTTACTACTTAGTTTTACTACTTAGTTTTACTACTTAGTTTTACTACTTAGTTTTACTACTTAGTTTTACTACTTAGTTTTACTACTTAGTTTTACTACTTAGTTTTTCTACTTAGTTTTTCTACTTAGTTTTACAACTTGGCTTTACAAATTAGGTTTAAAACTTAATTTAACAACTTAGTTTCGCAACTTAGTTTTACTACTTAGTTTTACTACTTAGTTTTACTACTTAGTTTTACTACTTAGTTTTACTACTTAGTTTTACTACTTAGTTTTACTACTTAGTTTTACTACTTAGTTTTACTACTTAGTTTTACTACTTAGTTTTACTACTTAGTTTTATTACTTAGTTTTACTACTTAGTTTACAACTTGGTTTTACAAATTAGGTTTAAAACTTAATTTAACAACTTAGTTTCGCAACTTAATTTTATAACTTAATTTTACTACTTAGTTTTACTACTTAGTTTTACTACTTAGTTTTACTACTTAGTTTTACTACTTAGTTTTACTACTTAGTTTTACTACTTAGTTTTACTACTTAGTTTTACTACTTAGTTTTACTACTTAGTTTTACTACTTAGTTTTACTACTTAGTTTTACTACTTAGTTTTACTACTTAGTTTTACTACTTAGTTTTACTACTTAGTTTTACTACTTAGTTTTACTACTTAGTTTTACTACTTAGTTTTACTACTTAGTTTTACTACTTAGTTTTACTACTTAGTTTTACTACTTAGTTTTACTACTTAGTTTTACTACTTAGTTTTACTACTTAGTTTTACTACTTAGTTTTACTACTTAGTTTTACTACGTAGTTTTACAACTTTAGTTTTAGTTTTATAATCTATTTTAAAAACAGAAAAAAATACTTACGGTCCACGAACTGTTTGGGTGCTGGTATTTTTTCCCATAGAGGTTGCGCGGTTCTGCAGTAACTAATATTTTCTCCTGATTTTATTGCTTCCGGACAGCAAATTCTAGGTTCACATTCTTTATCGGTTATGCATTGTTTGATTTCCCATATTTCGGCAAGCGGTTCACTTGGACACGTTTGTTGAACAAAACCAAACAGAGTAGCTAAAAAAATAGTAAACTTAAATAATTTTTAATCGACTTCAAAAAAGGAGGAGGTTCTCAATTCATCGTAATATTTTTTAGTAATAACAAATGATTTACTTGCATTGCAATATGGTTATTAATCGATACAGATGATTAAATAAAATGTATGAGGAAAGCAATAATATAAATGAAGATATTCGAATAGAATTTAAAAAATACGATAAAAGAAAATAAAATGGGAAGGTCATATAATTAAAATAACCAACAGTACCCAGTTTAAAATGGTGTGGGTTACTAGAAGAATAAGAGGAAAGAATAAAAGAGGTCGATCCAGAACAATATGAAATAACAGATTGCTGAGATTTTGAGGATACTCTAAGTGCGGTAGAGCAACCCACGTTCTTTATCTTTATCTTTATTTTTATCGGTTGTAAGCAGGTAGGGTTAGGTTTGGCCCAGAACACTGCGGCCTCTTGGATCTATTGTATTCCCCTGCTTTCCCCGTATTCAGGTACTATCTTTGGAATAGTCCTGTGTCTTTGGTTAGTTTTAATATGTTTCCTACCAACTGTTCCTGGGGCGTTCTTTCCGGTTCTAGGCCGAAAAGGATGAAACGTCGCCCACTAAGAGCTTCGCATTCGAAGATCACATGGTATGAGGTTTCTTCCTCTTCCATGCAAAGTCTACACGTAGTGGGATCATTGTATAATCCCATTACATGAAGGTGTTTCAGCAAGCAGTGCCCCGTTAGTAATCCCACAATGGTAGATATCTGAGGCCTTGCGAGTTGTAGTGCCTCAGTAGCCATGCGTGGGTTTGGTCCCCTTAGCATGAGCTTACTGATTCTGTGCCCTCTTATCTGTTGCCAGTGAATTTGGTGTTTTATGGTTATCCACCTGTTCACTGCCTGTCGAGCAGAGGTTTTGCTTATCCCAAATACAGGTTCGGTAGATCTGATCCATCTTTGGCGAGTTCATCAGCCTTTTCATTTCCTTGGATACCTTTGTGCCCTGGTACCCACGCCAGTTTTACCTTGTTGTGGGTTGCCAGATCATTTAGTATTCCAAGGCAGTTCCAGACAAGCTTTGACTTAATTATGTTTGAATCAAGAGCCTTTAAAGCTGCCTGGCTATCTGAGAGAATTAGGATGGTTTGTTTTTTGTACTTCCTTCTTAAATTCTCTCGTACACACAATTCGATTGCATGTATTTCAGCCTGAAATACAGTGGCATGTTTTCCCAGTGAGACGATGATGTCGCATTTGGGTTTAACTCCATGTACGCCAGAGCCTGTTCCCTTGTTAGTTTTAGATCCATCCGTATACCATACGATACCGCTAAGCAAGTATTTATCTATCTCCTTATTTACCTCGATCCAGTTACAGTTGACCAGGAAGAGTCTGTTAAAGGTTAGGAGGGGTGTCATGTGATCTGATCCCATATTTAATATAGAATCATTTGCTTCATGTGTTATTCTGGTATGTTTTATATGTCCCAGTGGGTTCCAGTTGTTGGAGATTTCCAGTCTGTATGCACCAATTCTGGCCTCACCCTTTATGACTAGGTCAAGGGGTGAGAGGTTTAGAATGATTTCCATAGAGGCTGTCGGTGTACTTCTCAGTGCTCCTGTAATACAAAGGCATACCAGCCTCTGTACTCCTGAGAGGGTATTAAGGGCTGTTTTCTGGTTTACTTTTGGCCACCAAACAACCGCTCCATAAGTTATCATAGGTCTTGTTATTGCTAAATATAGCCAGTTGACCATTTTTGGTTTTAATCCTCATGTTTTTCCAAATGCCCGTCTCCCTACAATGAGAGACATTTTACATTTGTTGGTCACTTTTTGTAAGTGTTGGTTTCAAGTAAGTTTGCTATCTAGGATTAGACCCAGATATTTTACTTGGTTCGTTTTGTTTAGCCTTCCTCCAAACAGAGTCGAATTTTCTAAAACCTCCAATTTCGTTTTTCGAGTAAAGGTTAGGAGTTGTGCCTTGTCAGGGTTTACCAAGAGGTTTTCCCTAACGCACCACATTTCTGTCAGCCTAAGAGCTCTTTGCGTGAGTTTAAAGACTGCGGTTTGGTGTTTCTCTCGGATAAGAATGACTATGTCATCGGCATATCCTTGGGCATACAGCCCTTGATTGTTTAGTGTTTTCAGCAGTTCGTCTGCCACTAGGTTCCACAGTAGAGGAGAAAGGACTCCACTCTGTGGGCCTCCCCTGTGGATATTCACCTGCATGGTTTCACTGAACATTTGTGCCTGTACTTGCCGTCCGCATAACATGTCTTCTATCCACCAGCAGATGGTGTCTTCTATTCCATGTTTGCGAGCGGCAGCTACCATTGATTTAAAGGAGGTATTATCAAAAGCTCCTTTTATGTCAAGAAATGCTCCTAGGACTATTTCTTGGCTACTGAGTCCTCCCTCTATCTTGGTTACAAGATGATGCAGAGCAGATTCACAAGATTTTCCTGATTGATAGGCATATTGGTTTGTATGGACATGCTGATCAATCAGTTTTTCCAATACCTTCAATAGAAATGACGTGAGAGTTGTTGGTCTATAGGCCTTTGTCGCGGCATACGTTGGACGCCCCGGTTTAGGTATGAAGACAAATCTGCTTTGTTTCCAGGTATTTGGTACATGTTTATGCACCAAACTTGCCCTGTAGAGCCTACAAGAGCAACCCACGTTACAGATGTAGATACAGAGGAAAGAGAAATGAAACTAAAGTAATAACTACAGCTAGATAGGAAAACCTTATATATGTGGAGTGAAAACCTCTATCCTTATTAATAGAAGACACACTGCACTTTTTAATATGATGATGATGAAATTCTCAACAAATCAGATTAAGCTAAAGGCTTTTTTATATTTACGTGAATGTGTTGTCACCGGTTTAGGAGGTTTAACACCTTGTGTACATTTTTTGTCACAGCACAAGATGCTCTTTCCAAATATAGAGCAGTCTTTATTTATTGAGCATGGCAGTGCGAAGAAGGGTCGAGACACTTCATTTCCAGGGCAGACGTATTTTTCAAGTACTTTCGAAGACTGTTTGGACGTTTGCTCGTATTTAGGTGTACTGGTTGTTTTCTGAACTTTGACATCAGATGGTAAGTCTCCGTCTAGTTTATTATCTGAAATAAAAGAATTTTATTTATATATCAAATACTTTCTCTTACAAAAACGCCGAATCCTAAAAATTAATTAATGCGCATATTAAATGAAATTGTGCTCAGTACGGTACCTTGAGGCACTACGAGCGATATAAATATACCGTGAGCACCATAAGTCTTACCCCCCCTATCTAACTCGTTACTGGAGTCTTGTTAGAAAAATCGCCGAGACACGTCGATTTTTGATTTCTACAGTGTACATTTTTGTATGAATAGTTTACCCTTAATTTCATCCTTTACTGGAGGGGAGGAGCCCTTTCGAAAAATTTAAATGGCATGGGGTGGTGAGTGATAGCTCATTTGAAAGAGAGTTTTATTCTCTATTCAACCATGTCAAAAATTTTGAAATTTGCTTCATTAATTCTCGATTAATTGTTGTTACAGAATAACGGAAATTAACTTAGCGCACTCATCCTTAGAATTAAAATTCGGCCCTGCATGATTTCGGTTTTGGTTCAGACGTGAAGTAATACTTTTTGCCATTAGAAGGTCACTATTAGTTTAGTTGCTTTCCTATTTTGTGAGGTTTTGTTATTTTTATGCATTAATAAATCAACACGTAATGAAGCAAATTTAAAAATTTTTTGCACGGTTGAATAGAGAATAAAACCCCATTTCAAATGAGCTATCACTCACCACCCCATGCCATTTAAATTTTTCGAAAGGGTTGTTTCCCTCCAGTAAGGGATGAAATTAAGGGTACCACTAATCATACAAAAATGTACATTGTAGAAAACAAAAATCGACCTGTCTCGGCGATTTTCCTAACAAGACTCCAGTAACGAGTTAGTTAGGGGGGGTAAGACTTATGATGCTCACTGTATATTTAGTTTTAAATTTTACATTAAAATATTATTTTATAGAGTTAAGTAAACATAGTTTTTTTTTAAACATATTATTGAACCATTTTATTCGTATTCGCATAAATTGGTAAAAGTGTAAGGATAATAATTAAAATGTATGATTATATCTTTCACATAGACCGGTAGGTTGGGAGGGGATGTCTACAGAGAAGGGCACTATTACCTCTACTGTGGAACTTGGTCCTAGGCACCCTGATCAGCTGTCTCAATAATGACAGTCTCTACACAATTGCGTATGCAAATGTCCTAGTCATTCTGCAAACAGGGATTTTGAGAACATGCTTTGTGAAAGAATGTAAGTAGCTCTCAAAATTATAAAACAGTGGTTTAAGGACCATTTACTGTCTATCAATTCCCAGAAGTCAGAAATGGTCTTTTTCACAAGGAAAGGGATAAAAATGGAACTTAAACCTCCAGAGCTAAACTAAACATTGCAACAGAAGTGAAGTACCTAGGTATCACCTTTGACAGCAAGTTAACATAGACCTCACACCTAGAAAAGGAGTAAAAAAAGCATACATTGCTTATGAATAATACCATTGACAGCTATTCGCAAACTAGAACAAATTCAAAGAACAGCATGTCTCAACATAACAGGAGCTATGAAAACCACACCAACTGGGGACATGAAAGTCATTTTTAGTCTCACTCCCCTTGATATTAAATCAAGAAGGTTGATCTGATGATAATGATACGCCTCCGCACGGTTGAGATAGACCCTGATGTAAGATCTGGTGAGGCGAGACGTCACTTTTAACAGGAATCGCCCGATATGCTCGCTTTGCTTCAAGCGAACATGGACTCGATCTCACCGAAATATATCATCGGTGAGCCATGTAAAGTTATAACTGAACAAATAAAAGAGCCGGAAGTGACAGGTTCGATTCATATCTACACCGACGGTTCTAAAACAAAACAATGCTCAGAATGTGGATTATACTCCAGATCCTTAAACCTAAACATAAAAGCAATAGTGCCAGTGTAGTTCAAACCAAGCTCACGAAACAATAACACTGGAAAAAACATAACTCATCCATACATATAGTAGATTAGCACTACTCATCCTGAACAGACCTCGAATTTACTCAGCATTAGTACTAGAATGTTAAGAAACTTTGGCCGAAGTATCCATTTACTAGCCAAATACGTTTTGGACCTGGCCCTTCTAGTGGACTGACAACATCAGTAGTGACAAACCTAAATAAAAAACATTCCCTTGTGAAATTCAAAGAAATATAGGATGAAACAGGAAGTTGCACATTGTGTTTGGAGAGAATTGGCTAACACCGGCCGATATAAGAGAAGCACCCCTTGGCGACGTTGTCAACTACATTTAATTTGTAGGCTGATTCACGAGCTAAGAGATGACTATCTACTTATGAGGATGCACAATGGGCCTAGTGAGGCCTAAGTGCCTTAGGTTAACCCAACCTCTACACGTTACAGTAATAGATAGACAGGTTGGTACTTTATAATTGGGACACATTGGACAATTTTTGAAACTTTGGTTAATTACACATGAACAAAACATATTTTTTAGATAATAAAAATTTGATAGTAGATGTTTGTATCTAAAGCACATTTTCCATCAAATTTGACCAACATTTTGTCTTTCGATAAAAATTAATTAATATTTTTGTATTTTATTAAATCCTATTTCGAAAATTTTTAATTAAAAAAAATATATGAACTGATATTTTTAAATATAAAAAACTTTAGAAAAATATAAGAATTGCAATAAAATGCATTTTTATAGAGTTAAAATATTAGGTAAATTTTTCTTTTTGTATTACTATGTTATTAGTTCTTTGATGAAAAATAAAAGAGGTTTAAAAAAAAAGTAAAAAATATATTATTTTAAGTGAGAAAAAAAGAAACAATAAAATACAACTTTTCTCCTAATACGGTCTTAAGAGCTCTTTTCTATATTGTTTAGGTAATAATTTCATCGACATAGGATTTTCAGTTTGTGATGACATTTTGTTCCTGAAAACACCTTTTAGTTATTTTCAAATAAAAAAATAATTTTTGTTTAAAAAAATACGCCAAAATGCTATCTAAGTTATGCATGACAAATTATTTCATTACACCAAATTTTTATGTACTACAATATTCCAGATCAAAGATATAGGATATGATGTCTATGTTCCAGATATACCTACAGAGTTTTTTATGTTGGATGTCGAAACAGGGGTGATGGTACGGTAGATAAAGATAGTAGTGTTCAATTATGAAGACTAGAGAGAAGGACAATGGTCAAATTTCAAATTTCCGTCCTTCTTTTTATAAAATTTGCCAAATTGACTGTAGTTGGCGGGTCGAAAGTCAATGACGAGAATTTTCTATGTAAGTCAATAGGAAATAAAATGTTTTTTTTTAAATTAGTAACATGAGTGATAAAAACATAAAAGCAAGATTTACTTCGTGCCAGATTGAAAAACGTGTTTTTCTACGAACTCTTACAAAAAGACATCTTTCGCCACAGGATACTTTCAGCGAAAACTTGATTTCCGTCACTAGTGAGAAAAAATCCCATAACGTTTACTTTCGTCTCTAGTGACGAAAGTAAGTTGTTACATATTTTCATATATCAGTCGCCTCGTATAATATTTTGGCAGCTTATAATTATTAATAATGAAATAAAAAGATGCTCATTAAATTCTATATGCGTTTTTACCTAAACTTGAATGAATTAAAGATAAATAAAAATGTATAAAAATAGTGCAAATTAAACCAATCTACATCTAGTTTCCTGGTTTTCATTTGTTTATTTGAAGTTTTATCACTTTTGAGAACTGTCAGTTTCAGTTCGTCCTAAATTTAACACATTTTCATGATGTCTGAGTCAGATTTATTACCGGCCAAATCAAAAAAGAGATATGAAGAAATTTATATCAAATTTTTGGACTGGAGAGAAAAAAATAAAGTGAAATCATTTTCGGAAACTGTACTACTAGCATACTTTGGAGAAATATGTTCAAATTTTAAACCGTCGACGTTATGGTCCATTTATTCGATGCTAAGAACTACACTCTCTGTTAAAAATGATGTCGATATTAGTAAATATCCAAAGTTACGTTCGCTTTTGAAAAGAAAATCTGATGGTTTTAAAAGCCAAAAATCCAAAATTTTTTCGCCTGATGACATAAAGACTTTGCTAAAGAATGCACCTGACTATAAATATTTAATAACAAAGGTAACGAAATTATTATTTTTATTTTAACAAATACTTAATACATAACTACTAATATTTGTAGGTAGCATTAGTTTTTGGATTATCTGGCGCTTGTCGTTGCCACGAACTAAAAGATTTAACAATAAGCGATGTAAAGGATACGGAAGTATTCTGTTAGTTAAAATCCGTAATACAAAAACAAAAGTTCCGCGTTCTTTTTATATTTCTGGACCCTTTTATGATATTTCTAAAAAATATATGAGCCTACGTCCCGCAAACATGGATCAAATTAATTCAAGATTCTTTATTAACTATCAGAATGGAAAGTGTAGCAGACAGGTTGTTGGAATTAATAAAATCAGTAAATTTCCTAACGAAATTGCTCAGTTTTTAACGATTCCGAATCCTCAAGATTACACTGGGCACTGTTTCCGCAGAACATCCGCAACGCTATTAGTGGATGCAGGAGGTGACTTGCTTCTGTTAAAAAAGCACGGTGGTTGGAAATCTAGTAGTGTTGCGGAAGGATATGTTGATGAATCCACGAACAGTAAAAACCAAATACAAACCAAAATTTTACAATCTCTACAAAATAAGGAAACTACTAGTTCATCCGATTATGGCGCATCATCATCTGAAATGACATTTAACAGTAGAACAAATATGTCGGCATCTGCCTCAATAAATAAAAAGCTTGAGTGTGATACCCCCATAATTTTGAACAATTGTTCAAATATAACAATAAATCAATATTTAAATAATAAATAATATTTCTGAAATATTTAATTGTTGGTTAATTTTTTGTTATTCCTAACACAAAATAAAGCATTTGCTAACGTTTGTTTTTTTTTTTTTTCATTTTAGTAGGTACCTACATGACATAATAGAGTTCGTAGAAAAAGTATAGTGTTTTACTCGTCGAA